GAAACACTTTTTTCCTGTAACGTTTTACATTATAGATCGAAATAGAATAGTTATGAATTTTCGAGTTTCAAAAAAATTCAAAAAAAAATTCAAAAAAAAAATTTATTTTATATATTTTTCCCAAAAAGTACTTCCGAATTGAAACACTTTTTTCCTGTAACGTTTTACATTATAGATCGAAATAGAATAGTTATGAATTTTTCGAGTTTCAAAAAAATTCAAAATTTTGAATTTTGAAAAAAAAATTATTTTATATATTTTTCCCAAAACGTACTCCCGAATTGAAACACTTTTTTCCTGTAACATTTTACAATATAGATAAAAGTAGAAGAGTTATAAATTTTTTGAGTTTCAAAAAATTAAAAAAAAAATTCAAAAAAAATTTATTTTATATATTTTTCCCAAAAAGTACTTCCGAATTGAAACACTTTTTTCCTGTAACGTTTTATATTATAGATCGAAATAGAATAGTTATGAATTTTCGAGTTTCAAAAAAATTCAAAAAAAAATTCAAAAAAAAAATTTATTTTATATATTTTTCCCAAAAAGTACTTCCGAATTGAAACACTTTTTTCCTGTAACGTTTTACATTATAGATCGAAATAGAATAGTTATGAATTTTTCGAGTTTCAAAAAAATTCAAAATTTTGAAATTTGAAAAAAAAATTATTTTATATATTTTTCCCAAAACGTACTCCCGAATTGAAACACTTTTTTCCTGTAACATTTTACAATATAGATAAAAGTAGAAGAGTTATAAATTTTTTGAGTTTCAAAAAATTAAAAAAAAAATTCAAAAAAAAAATTTATTTTATATATTTTTCCCAAAAAGTACTTCCGAATTGAAACACTTTTTTCCTGTAACGTTTTATATTATAGATCGAAATAGAATAGTTATGAATTTTCGAGTTTCAAAAAAATTCAAAATTTTGAATTTTGAAAAAAAAATTATTTTATATATTTTTTCCAAAAAGTACTCCCAAATTGAAACACTTTTTTCCTGTAACATTTTACATTATAGATCGAAATAGAATAGTTATGAATTTTTCGAGTTTCAAAAATTTCAAAAAAAAATTTATTTTATATATTTTTCCCAAAAAGTACTCCCGAATTGAAACACTTTTTTCCTGTAACGTTTTACATTATAGATCGAAATAGAATAGTTATGAATTTTTCGAGTTTCAAAAAAAATCAAAAAAAAATTCAAAAAAAAATTTTTTTTATATATTTTTCCCAAAAAGTACTTCCGAATTGAAACACTTTTTTCCTGTAACGTTTTACATTATAGATCGAAATAGAATAGTTATGAATTTTTCGAGTTTCAAAAAAATTCAAAATTTTGAATTTTGAAAAAAAAATTATTTTATATATTTTTCCCAAAACGTACTCCCGAATTGAAACACTTTTTCTGTAACATTTTACATTATAGATGAAAATAGAAGAGTTATGAATTTTTTAAGTTTCAAAAATTTCAAAAAAAAATTCAAAAAAAAAATTTATTTTATATATTTTTCCCAAAAAGTACTTCCGAATTGAAACACTTTTTTCCTGTAACGTTTTACATTATAGATCGAAATAGAATAGTTATGAATTTTTCGAGTTTCAAAAAAATTCAAAATTTTGAATTTTGAAAAAAAAATTATTTTATATATTTTTCCCAAAACGTACTCCCGAATTGAAACACTTTTTTCCTGTAACATTTTACAATATAGATAAAAGTAGAAGAGTTATAAATTTTTTGAGTTTCAAAAAATTCAAAAAAAAATTCAAAAAAAAAATTTATTTTATATATTTTTCCCAAAAAGTACTTCCGAATTGAAACACTTTTTTCCTGTAACGTTTTACATTATAGATCGAAATAGAATAGTTATGAATTTTCGAGTTTCAAAAAAATTCAAAATTTTGAATTTTGAAAAAAAAATTATTTTATATATTTTTCCCAAAACGTACTCCCGAATTGAAACACTTTTTTCCTGTAACATTTTACAATATAGATAAAAGTAGAAGAGTTATAAATTTTTTGAGTTTCAAAAAATTCAAAAAAAAAATTTATTTTATATATTTTTCCCAAAAAGTACTTCCGAATTGAAACACTTTTTTCCTGTAACGTTTTACATTATAGATCGAAATAGAATAGTTATGAATTTTCGAGTTTCAAAAAAATTCAAAATTTTGAATTTTGAAAAAAAAATTATTTTATATATTTTTTCCAAAAAGTACTCCCAAATGGAAACACTTTTTTCCTGTAACATTTTACATTATAGATGAAAATAGAAGAGTTATGAATTTCTTAAGTTTCAAAAATTTCAAAAAAAAATTCAAAAAAAAAATTTATTTTATATATTTTTCCCAAAAAGTACTCCCGAATTGGAACACTTTTTTCCTGTAACGTTTTACATTATAGATCGAAATAGAATAGTTATGAATTTTTCGAGTTTCAAAAAAATTCAAAATTTTGAATTTTGAAAAAAAAATTATTTTATATATTTTTCCCAAAAAGTACTCCCGAATTGAAAACTTTTTTCCTGTAACGTTTTACATTATAGATCGAAATAGAATAGTTATGAATTTTTCGAGTTTCAAAAAAATTCAAAATTTTGAATTGTGAAAAAAAAATTATTTTATATATTTTTCCCAAAAAGTACTCCCGAATTGCAACATTTTACAATATAGATAAAAGTAGAAGAGTTATAAATTTTTTGAGTTTCAACAAAATTTTGAATTTTGAAAAAAAAATTATTTTATATATTTTTCCCAAATGTACTCCCGAATTGAAACACTTTTTTCCTGTAACGTTTTACATTATAGATCGAAATAGAATAGTTATGAATTTTCGAGTTTCAAAAAAATTCAAAATTTTGAATTTTGAAAAAAAAATTATTTTATATATTTTTTCCAAAAAGTACTCCCGAATTGAAACACTTTTTTCCTGTAACATTTTACAATATAGATAAAAGTAGAAGAGTTATAAATTTTTTGAGTTTCAAAAAATTCAAAAAAAAATTCAAAAAAAAAATTTATTTTATATATTTTTCCCAAAAAGTACTTCCGAATTGAAACACTTTTTTCCTGTAACGTTTTACATTATAGATCGAAATAGAATAGTTATGAATTTTCGAGTTTCAAAAAAATTCAAAATTTTGAATTTTGAAAAAAAAATTATTTTATATATTTTTCCCAAAACGTACTCCCGAATTGAAACACTTTTTTCCTGTAACATTTTACAATATAGATAAAAGTAGAAGAGTTATAAATTTTTTGAGTTTCAAAAAATTCAAAAAAAAAATTTATTTTATATATTTTTCCCAAAAAGTACTTCCGAATTGAAACACTTTTTTCCTGTAACGTTTTACATTATAGATCGAAATAGAATAGTTATGAATTTTCGAGTTTCAAAAAAATTCAAAATTTTGAATTTTGAAAAAAAAATTATTTTATATATTTTTTCCAAAAAGTACTCCCAAATTGAAACACTTTTTTCCTGTAACATTTTACATTATAGATGAAAATAGAAGAGTTATGAATTTCTTAAGTTTCAAAAATTTCAAAAAAAAATTTATTTTATATATTTTTCCCAAAAAGTACTCCCGAATTGGAACACTTTTTTCCTGTAACGTTTTACATTATAGATCGAAATAGAATAGTTATGAATTTTTCGAGTTTCAAAAAAATTCAAAATTTTGAATTTTGAAAAAAAAATTATTTTATATATTTTTCCCAAAAAGTACTCCCGAATTGAAAACTTTTTTCCTGTAACGTTTTACATTATAGATCGAAATAGAATAGTTATGAATTTTTCGAGTTTCAAAAAAATTCAAAATTTTGAATTGTGAAAAAAAAATTATTTTATATATTTTTCCCAAAAAGTACTCCCGAATTGCAACATTTTACAATATAGATAAAAGTAGAAGAGTTATAAATTTTTTGAGTTTCCACAAAATTTTGAATTTTGAAAAAAAAGTTATTTTATATATTTTTCCCAAATGTACTCCCGAATTGAAACACTTTTTTCCTGTAACGTTTTACATTATAGATCGAAATAGAATAGTTATGAATTTTCGAGTTTCAAAAAAATTCAAAATTTTGAATTTTGAAAAAAAATTATTTTATATATTTTTTCCAAAAAGTACTCCCGAATTGAAACACTTTTTTCCTGTAACATTTTACAATATAGATAAAAGTAGAAGAGTTATAAATTTTTTGAGTTTCAACAAAATTTTGAATTATGAAAAAAAATTTATTTTATATGTTTTTCCCAAAAAGTACTCCCAAATTAAAACACTTTTTTCTTTTTTTCACTTTTTTTTTTGAGATCTACAACTTTTGTCTAAAACTTTTTTCGAAATTTTTTGTTTTTTACGAGATAATCGTAAAAAACCATTATTTTATGGTGTTTTTTATGGTTTTTACCATGATAATCAAATTTGCGCCAATTTTCACTATCATTTTCGTAATCAGCGCACCAAAATACGTTAGTATACCAAGTTTTATTAAAATCGGAGGTACCCCTACTTCGGAAGTACACCCAAAATAATTTATTTCTTATTTAACTCCTCGCAATTTATAAATTTTCGCTTCTCTCTTTCTTAAAATTCATAATAAAATTACTTTTAATACCTGAAAATTCAGTGCAGTGAAGAAATTAATTAATAAACTTGTCAATAAGAACATTCCAGCCATGACAGTTATACTTTAATACCAATTCAGGTATCAAAAAATGATACCAATTCAGGTATTAATAAATGATACCAATTTACGGATCATTTCTTAAAAATGATCCAAATATTTGGATAACTTATATCGAATCAAAACGTTGCATTAGTTGATTCGAATTATGGTATCAATTTGATACACACAAGAAAACTGTGATTAGTACGCTACAGGAATTTTACCCCATATATAATTAAAGGATTTTTTTAATAGAGAAAGGAGTTATAAAAATCTGTTGATTATATATTAACATAACAATTCAACTGTTTCAAAGTGAAAAATGTACTATAAAAATTTTAAAATGCACTAAAATTGAGTTTATACGAAAATTCCTCTTCTGATTTTTTTCATCTTAGGTTCAAATTACTCTGTAAGTAATGTAGAATTGATATCTAAAAAGAGACAAAATAGGCCAGTACTTTTGAGTTAAAGTTAGTCCAAGCTCATCGTGTGAGCACATATGAAGTTAAAAAAATAATTATACAAAATAAAGACATTTCTTCTATTTTTTGGTACAAAATTATTCTTCACATTCCTGCCTTAAATTATAAAGGTATAAGAATGCTTATTTTTTATAAATCATTTTCTCACGCTTAGCCACTAATACATGTGCAACAATCATTTAATTTACCTTACTTATTTCTCTTCTTTAGCAGCATCATTTATCTAAAAACACAAGATAACTGAAGGATATCCGGGTGGGAAAAACATACAAAAGAATGAAATCTGATATTTTCTATTTACACTACTCCAATAAGAATAGTGCAAATTATTATTTTTTACATCCTTACAATTATATAATTAATAATAAATTTTCTTAAATATTTCACAAAATTAAAAGCTTAAATAGCCTTTCGGGATCTAAAAATCGTATATTCTGGCATTCAAGAAAAAATTCTTACGTTTTCAATATCAATACACATTTTGTACATTGCCAAACTTAATTATTAAAATTTTGCATTTTTTGCTTCAGCATACTGACTGCAACCTTGTTCATGCTTTTTGGTAGTTCATTTAAGATAATTCCTTGATACTTGTATGTGGATTTTCCAATTTCTTTATTCACTTTTTTAATGTTACTTTTAATATGTTGCAAATTAATGTGTCCTTCACGTATTCTCAATTAAATGTTACGATCCTTGTTCCACCGCAGTAAATGTCTTCCTATAAATAATAGTGATTATTTAAATAAATCAGATTCTTCTAGAATTTTTAGATTATAAACCCGGCGAGTATGTGGTGGCAAAATGTTAAACGGACTATATGGTTGGCACACTGATCTCTATATATGGGTGATTCTACAAACGAAGGACGAAAATGAAGAAAATATGGACACAATATTTTTCTTATTTAAGGTCTGAAAAGTACTTTAACTTCAAGTTAATGACACTAAAAAAGATATCTGAAAGTGGGCAGACAAAATATTAAAAATTACAAAAGTTATGGTTGTTTATAAACAATTTATCCAGGAAATTAAGATCGTGTATAGAAAATTTCAAAATTCAAAATGGCGAATCCAATATGGCGGACAAATATTTAAAATTACTGGAAACTGCTTACTTGGTAACTTTGTAGGGTCGCTGGTAAATGATTCCGACGTCAGTTTTTCATATTTAAAATGTGCGAATCTAATCTATTAAACGAATTTTTAAAAAAATTTTCAATTTTTATTAAATTTTAAATCCAGAAGTTTTTGAATTATTGAAAACTAATCTAAAGTCCAATTTTTAAAATTACACAATTTTTAAGATATTTCTTTAAAATAGTCAAATTTTAAAAATCTGGCTTGAAACTCGTAATCTGGTAATTCTAAAAAGAAAAAGTATGGAATGAAACATTTTTTGCACGTATAATTTTGATAAACAGGTTAATTTAAATTAATATGTTTGTTCAAAATTTGTTCGCCATATTGGATCTGACATTTTGAATTTTAAAAAACTGACGTCGGATTCGTAATCAGCGACTCCAAAAAACCCCGAGTAATTATTTTCAGACAACTATATTAGGTTTTTTCAAAAGTCGTCCGCCTTATTGGATCCGCCATTTTGAATTTTGAAAAACTGACGTTGGATTTGCAATCATCGACCACGAAAACCCCCGAGTAACATTGAGCTGAAGAACGTAACGTTAATTGTTTAACGGTTACAAAAACCAATTTATTTAAAGTTGTTTAAATTTTAATCATTACCAATCGAAAGAGCATAAAAAATGTGTCAGAATCCATGAGTTTTATTCCAAATTTGATGTCGGAAAGATATGAAAAATCAAAATTTAATAGGCACCCGATAACGCAATCGTTAACATTTGAGAAAAGTTAAATTAATTTTGTTTTTAGGGTTCCGTACTCGGTTCGGAACCCTATTAATATCGGTTTTTTTGAAATCGTGTACCCCCCCCCTAGCGGCCACACAAATTTATCTGGAGGGCTGACAATTAGTACACATATGTATTTTCGCGTGTAGATTACAGGAAAATTATAGCGAACTTGATTGGAATTGATTAACATAGCGTTGTCAAGGAAAAACCATGAATTTTTACGAAAAATGCCTAAAAATGACTATGTACCCCCCCCCTAGCTGCCACATCTTTTGACATAAAGAGCTCAAATTTGACACACTTACGTATTTTTACGTGAAAATTACAGGAAAATTATAGCGAACTTGATTCGGATCAATTTACATAGCGTTGTCAAGGAAAAATCAAATATTTCGAAAAAAATGATTTATTCTCCCTAGCGCACACAATATTCAACCCAGACAGTTCATATTTAGTATACAAATGTATTTTTACGGGAAAAATACAGGGGAAAAAAAGCGGTCACGATTAGAGTTGATGATTAACTTTTTATCAAGTTTTTCAAGAAAAAATGACAATTTTAGGAAAAAAATGTATTTTTCCACCAAAAACGAACAAAATTTTATTTAAAGGAAATTAAATTTACATATTTTAACGTATTTTTACGTGTAGATTACAAAAAAAATATAGCGAGCATGATTGGAGTTGATTATCATAGCGTTGTCAAGGAAAAACCATGAATTTTTACGAAAAATGCCTAAAAATGACTATGTACCCCCCCCTAGCGGCCACATCTTTTGACATAAAGAGCTCAAATTTGGTACACTTACGTATTTTTACGTGAAAATTACAGGAAAATTATAGCGAACTTGATTCGGATTAATTTACATAGCGTTGTCAAGGAAAAATCAAAAATTTCGAAAAAAATGATTTATTCTCCCTAGCGCACACAATATTCAACCCAAATTGTTCACATTTGCTGTAAAACTCAATTTTTGCGTGAAAAATACAGGGAAAAAATGTAAGCGCGATTGGAGTTGATGATCAATTTTTATCAAATTTTTGAAGAAAAATGATAAATTTAAGAAAAAAATGTATTTTTCCGCAAAAAAGTTGATCTAAAGTGATTCAAATTTATATATTTTGACGTATTTTTACGTGTAGATTACAAAAAAAATATAGCTAGGATGATTGGAGTTGATTTTTCTGGGTCTGTCAAGAAAAAACTGATAATTTTAGAAAAAATCATGAATTTTCTCCCAATAACGGAACAAATTTTTTCTAAAGGGCTTCAAATTTTCTATTTTTACGTATTTTTATGTGTAGATTATAGAAATAATTTAATAAACATGATTGAGTTCATTTCTTCAGTCGTTACAACTCTAAAATAAAAAAAATCGGACAAGTGCGAGTTACACTCGCACTGAAATCGAGGGTTCCGTACTCGAAGCGAACTTATTTGGTATAAAAACAAATGTTTAAAAAATATGTGTTGTATGACAACTAATATAAGTGATACGAAGAGGAACAATTTTCTTGAATTTTACAAAATTGTTCCTCTTCGTATCACTTATATTAGTTGTCATACAACACATATTTTTTAAACATTTGTTTTTATACCAAATAAGTTCGCTTCGAGTACGGAACCGAGTGTAACTCGCACTTGTCCGATTTTTTTTCATATCTTTCCGACATCAAATTTGGAATAAAACTCATGGATTCTGACACATTTTTTTATGCTGTTTCGATTGGTAATGATTAAAATTTAAACAAACTTTAATAAATTGGTTTTTGTAACCGTTAAACAATTAACGTTACTTTCTTCAGCTCAATCGAGTAACGAATTTTACAAGGTTCAATAAAAGGTATCGCTTTAATTAGTAATTTGTTTATATAATTTGTTTATAACAAGTTACGTGTGTTCTACTAGAACATAATTTTACAAATCACAAAACTGTATGAGTACTTTAAGTGTCTAATAATAAAAAATATTTCGATTTTATTGTGATATTTATACGATTCACAGAAAAAAAGTACTTTTTATTTGTTTATTTATGATTAATATAATTATATATATAAAATGAAAATTAAAACTTAGTGAGGATTATTTTAAGTCAAGAAAATCGAAAATTGTTAAAAAAGTATTAGTTTTACGCTGTTTTTAGTGGTTAATGTCTCAAAAGTGCCAGACGAATGAGAATTTGGCAATTTTTTTTTAAAAAAAGGTAGAAACAATATTAAATAAAAAAATACGTAATTCTATCCGATAGAGAATTCAAAGTTGCAATACATAAGCCTATAAAAGGATCTAAAAATAACATTTTTTTCAAAAAAATAGATGCTAGAAGAATGAGAATTTGTCTGGTCACAACGCAATCTTGGTCACAAATTGAGAAATCTTGGTTAATAGAATAACAAATTAAATAAAACGCGCGTGGCATCACATTTAGTTTAGTTTAATTAACAACAATAACGAACTGTAACTTCATCAGAATGTTTATTTTTAATAATTTTAACGTGTTTTCAACTGACAGACGAATGATAACAAAATCCAGGGACAAAATTCAAGAAGATATTTTTTAAATAAGGTATAGAGTAATGACATAATTATTTCCATATTAATAACACAGCCCCACAAAAAAAAAAGTGTCATGTACTTTTGACCGGAATATCCTAACCCTATGTATTTTGACGCGCTGAACACGAATCCGAAGTCCGTTTTGCTCCATCACGTCAGGATTTTTTTCTAACCTCAAAAAACATGTCGGATTTTGAGAAGTAGGCGATTTTTAAAAAAATTGATGTATTAACTTCAAACTTGGTATCTGGGGGTTTTTTGTGTCGATGATTATGAATCTGAAGTTAGATTTTCAAAATCCAAAATGGCGGATACAATATGGCTGACGAATTTTGAAAAAATTATAAGATTTACTTCAAACTTGGTATCTAGGGGTTTTTTTGGGTCGCTGATTACGAATCTGATGTCAGATTTCCGAAATTCGATATGCCTGATTCAAAATTAAGGAATTATTTTTAAAAAATTGTCAGATTATTACGAAATTTGGTATCTACAGGTTTTCTAAGTTGCTGACAAGTAACACTAGGGAAGTGCCATACGCCGATTTTTCTGAAACTTGTCAGTTTTGTAGTTTTTTGAAAACAATTTGACATGTATGTTTTGTTTTTCACCAAAAGCTGATTTATGGGGGGGAACTACCCCTTGAATTTTTTTTGGTAGGGGGACATTATTTTACGAAATTTTTTAAAAATTAATGTGCAATAGTGTATCTGGGGGTTTTTTGGGTCGCTGATTACGAATCTGATGTCAGATTTCAAAAATTCAAAATGGCATATGCAACATGGACTTCTATCAGCCATATTATAGATACGCCATTATCAATTTTTGAAAACTGACATCAGATTCGTAATCAGCGACCCAAAAAACCCCCAGATACACTATTGCACATTAATTTTTAAAAAATTTCGTAAAATAATGTCCCCTACCAAAAAAAAATTCAAGGGGTAGTTCCCCCCATAAATCAGCTTTTGGGGAAAAACAAAACATACGTGTCAAATTGTTTTCAAAAAACTACAAAACTGCCAAGTTTCAGAAAAATCGGCGTATGGCACTTACCTAGTGTTACTTGTCAGCAACTTAGAAAACCTGTGGATACCAAATTTCGTAATAATCTGACAATTTTTTAAAAATAATTCCTTGATATTGAATCAGACATATCGAATTTCGGAAATCTGACATGAGATTCGTAATCAGCGACCCAAAAAACCCATAGATACCAAGTTTGAAGTAAATCTTAAAATTTTTTAAAAATTCGTCAGCCATATTGGGTCCGCCATTTTGGATTTTGAAA